GAAAACCCTCCCCAGAAAACACACTGGCCTCTCAGAACTTTGATCTTGGACTTCTAGCCTCCAGAATGGTAGGAAATAAATGTCTGTTGTTTAAATCACTTGGTCTGAGGTATTTTGTAATGGCAGACCAAGCTAATTCAAATTATTTACAAATTCTTTCTGTAATTATTCTCACTAGGGAATCATGTCAAATTTGCCAGGCTGTAGTTACCTAAATCCCCCCTGCCACATCCTTTCTTCCTCTTAAGCTGTGCTACTTGGTGCCTGTCGGGATCACCCAGGACTACTCAGAGACCACCCCCAGCAGCTGCCTCCATGGTGCTGTAATTTACACAGACCAGCAAGAGACTTGAACACAGAGGGACACTCCATTCTGTCTCAAGTCCCTCTACCTGGTGTGGAGTCAGGAGTGGGCGGCAACTCCTGGATTTGATAGCCCCGTGAGTCAATCCTGTCCCCTAATCAGATGGCTAGGTCCCCAGAAGCAGGATGGGTCTGATCTGTCCCCGTGAGTGCAGCCTTGCTTGGCTCCACAGCAGGTGGCCAGCTCACCAGCTCTCTGTGAAATGAGGGTTGACTGTCTGTGGGACAGGGCTCAGTGAGGTGTGCCTGTGGCCCTTGGCCACAGGTGTTGGAGCTTGAGATGGGCTGTCACTCCCTGCACAAACTCTGCCCCTGTTGCTCTTTCCTGTCTCCCAGAATGTGGCTCCCAGCCAGCTGAGGCCAGGGCACCTGACCTGGCCTTGGAGCCACTGTTTCCTTGGACTTAGCTCCCTTGAGTTTGGCTTTCCTGTTTCCGAAGCTCCAGCAGAGATGACGACCAATGTCCAGCTCATCTGCCAGGGTTCTCTCCTGGGAGGCCTCTCTACAGCCCACTCTGCAGGTAGGCTGCCCAAGGCCACCTACCACGGACTCTCTTGCTGGCCCCCTTCCCAAGTCAAGAGCTGTTTGGCCTCCTGCTTTCCTTCTGTGTCCTCCCAACTTTCCTAATCCTGCCCTTTTTTGGGTTTTCTCTTTAGAAAATGCCTCCTTCCCCTCTCCTGCCAACATCTGCAAACCTCCCCTCCTCTGGCTCTCTTCTTTTGCTCAGAAACAAGACTGGGTGTGAAGAAGCGAGGGCAGGGCAGGGAAGCTCCAACTTTTCCCTCTAAAGAAAAGTATGCCAGGGGGTGGGGGTTTGGAGGTGGCCCCTCAAGAGGCATGTCCAAAGTCCTGTGTTTCTTTGAAGTCTGTTTTACCTTAAAAGTAGAAGTGAAGTTTATGCTTTACTGTATGATTCCTATTTGTACAAAACCATGTTTGAGTTAAATAAAAATATTTTAAATGACTTATGTTTTGCACCGAATCTATGAATAAAACTGAGTGAAGGGTCTCAGTGAAGGGTCAACAAGCTTTTCCTGTAAAGGGTCAGACAGTAAATACTTCAGGCTCTGCAGGCCATATGATCTTTGTGACGACTGATACTGTAGAGATAATACCTAAACGAACAGAATGACTGTTTTCCCGTAAAACTTTATTTATGGCCACTAAAAAGTTTGAATTGGGTATGATTTTCGTGTTCCTGGACACCCTCCTTCTTTTGCTTTTTCCATTGTTTATAATCTAAGGTCCATTCTTAGCCCACGGGCCGCAGCTTGTTGACTCCACCTAGGAAGACAGTACATCGGGCCTCTGTCTCCATGTGGGAAGCCAAGGCCAGAGCAAGAATGCTAGACCTTGGAATCAGGCCCATGTCCACTACTTGTGCCACTAAAGGCAGGTGACAACCCACCTAAGCTGTGTTTGGGGGATGAGCTCATGCATGTCAAGGCCTGGCACAGTGGCCTTCAGGGAAGGCCACTAAGTGGTGTGGCCACCTTTAGTGATGTGTGTGGTTGAGGTGCCCTGGGGCAAGGAAGGTCACGGTCTCGGCAGGGTTCAGGGTGGGTGAGCTGTGCATCCTTGTCCTCTGGGTCAGCTCCCTCCCTGTTCGCGCCCCCCCCCCCTCCCCGTCAGAGCTCCTTCCACCTTCCAAGACCAAATGCTACTTCTCACATGGCTCCTTGGCCCAGGGCTGGTGAGTCTGAGCACACAGACACCAAGGATGTCCCCAGGCTAAGCCCCAGCTCAGCACGGATGGGAAGGAAATACATTCCTCCCTGGGTGAACTGAGTCCTACTGGCCACAGAGCTGGCACACCCTGTGCAGCCCTCCTGCTCTGCCCCTAGTCTGTGTTCCATGCTGCTTTACAGAGCTGCACTGCCTGCTCTTGGCCTCAGACTAAAGACACCCATCCCGACTCCCCACCGACCAGCCTGTGGCTCTGGAATCAGTCCTTCTGGGTCCCCAGAGCCCAGCTTTGCTTTCACTAGCTGGATGACTGGGCAAATTAGCCTCCCTGGGTCTCAATATCCTCACACAGGAGATAACCTCATAGAATTATTATAGGGGTTGAGAACATGTCCATAAAATACTTGAACAGGGGTGGCGCCTGTGGCTCAAGGGAGTAGGGTGCCGGCCCCATATGCTGGAGGGAGCAGGTTCAAACCCAGCCCTGGCCAAAAACTCCAAAAAAAAAAAAAAAAACCCCACTCACAGGAAGTGCCTAGTAAACATGTACGGTCACCACTGAGTAAGGTTACCAGATTAAATATAGGATGTCTGGTTACACTTGAATTCCAAATGATGAAAGTTATTTTAGTTTATGTACCAGAATATTGCATAGGATATACTTATTCTAAAAAATGATTATCTGCAATCCAAATTTAACTGGGTGTCTTTGACCCCTGAATCTAGCACTCCCGCACAGAGTAGGGGCCTACAGGTCCAGAGGCTTCCTGCTCCCCAGGGGCTCCTGCATCCCTCCGTCTGCCTGGCACAGCGGGCTCGGTGCAGGGCAGCTCTTGCTCCTGTGTGCAGGCCAGAATGTGGCCTCCCTGCGGTACTCTGAGCCCAGTCCCAGAACCATTGCAGCAGCCTTGGGGCTTAGAACAAGCTCTTCCTGCCCCTTCCTCCTCCTTGCTTTCCCTCCTCCCGAGGAGGACCAGTAATCCTCACTGGCTATCCAGCAGACAGACACGTGACTCACAAGAGAATCTGCATGCTGGTGATGGAGGACTTGACACTGATCATTTCAATCAATCCTATTAACAGGCTAGAGGCACAAATTAGAATTATCCCTATTTTATGGATGATGAAATAAGACTTGGAGAAGTGTTCCAAGTGGGTGGTCTCCCTCCTTCTTATTCCTCCCGTTGTCCTCCAGGGCTTGGGCAGAGCCAGACACGAGGTCTGTCTTGGCAGCACCAATGTGTGACAGCCATGCTCAGTCTCAGTGTTCACATTGACCTCCCATAGGAGCTGGCACTTAATTCACCCCTTTACCTGTTTCCCATCTCATCCCACAGATTATCTTGCTGAGTTTGGATCGTGAGTTCTATAATGCCAGCTACCAGGCAGCCAAGACCCTAATCCCTGGGATAGGTGAACCCCATTTCTGACCTGAGGAAAAAATTTTCTGTGGTTTCCCAGAGTAGGCAAACGAACAATATACTTGCAAGAAACCATCTTAAAGAATTTGGTGTGAATGAACGATGCCTAAAGTTTTCCAGAGGGTGTGACACTTACTTGAGTGTTCCGTTTTTCCAGAGCCAATTTTTCTGAGTGTAATTTCTTCCCTCGGTTTTGGTCTCTGAGGTAGACGAAAGCCAGAATCAGGGTGCTGTCTCCTCCAGTTGCTGGGATCTGAGGGTCTAGCTCCAGTTCTGCCCACCACTGATGGGATAGCCTTGGTACCACCTCTGCTGGCTTTCATTAGGCAGATTAGATGCCAGGATCTGTCTACCCAATGCCCAATATGCTGTGAGGACAAATGAGGTCACTACTGGTAAACACACACAAAACACGAGCCCCACATACTGGACTAAGTATTCTGCCCCTGGATGAAGAGAAGGTATCTACTGGGATAGGCCCTTTACTATTTACTCTGCATAAATTATTACTATATCCAGCAGGGTGCCCTAAGTCTGTTTTTTTTTTTTTTTCTTTCGAGACAGGGTCCTGTGTTCTCTCTCTCTTGGGCTAGAGTGCCGTGGCATGATTGTAGCTCACAGCATGCTCAAACCTCTGGGCTCAAGCCATACTCCTGCCTTAGCCTCCTAAGTACCTGGGACTATAGGTGTGCACCACCAGGCCTGGGTCATTTTCTACTTTTTTTGGTAGGGATAGGGTTTTACCATGTTGCTCAGGCTGGTCTTGAACTCCTGGTCTCAAGTGATCCTCTCACCTTGGCTTCCGAAATTGTTGGCATTACAGATGTGAGCCACTGTGCCTGGGCTGTTTTGGTTAGAGATTTAAAAAGCCAGTAATAATACACCTCTAACAACAACGCCCCATTCATCCTTCAGATCACGTGTGCATCTGCTGGCTCCTAGTGGGAACCCCCTAAGGTGAGACTAGGTCAGTATCCTGCTCTGTCCTAAGTTGAGGGGTCAGCATCTTCCCACCGCTTTCATTGGTAACTTCTGATGTAGCCCTTCCAGGGTTGAGAAGCCATGCTTCCCAAAGCTAGGAACCACAAAGTTCTCAAAAAGCCTTGAGAATGCCAGTTACCGTGGTGTTTCTGTTTTATGGACCTGCTCTAACCCACGGAAAGCTACTCCCCATCAGTCCCAGGTGTGTAATCTGAGGTGGGACTTCTGGTGTGGGGCTAAGTGGTGCTGGTGAGACACCAGGTGAGAGCACTCAGGCCCTGAGTCTGGGTGGCAGGACGCTTAACTTCCAACTGTGTTCTATGGCAGGTCTTACACTGATAGGCTGAGGACCCATGAAGCCAACCTTCACAAATGAATAATGGGCAAGCCCTGGTAGGGTGCCCAGCAGGGATCAGACGCCTCAGAGAGTCAGCAGATGGATTCCTAGAGTGCATGGGCTGCACACATAAAATGCCCAGGCAGCAAGAGACACCCACATGCTACTAAATTCCTCAAATACAAATGTGACTTTTAAACTTTTTTTTTTTCTTTTAAATCCAGGATCAAGACCACAGACAATTTATTATGTAAGACATGGGGGTGAAGAATGATCAAGGAAAGTTATGGCTGCGAGTGACATGGAATTAGATGAAAAGGCTCAAGTTTGCTGAAGAGTTTAGATTTGGCTTTTGCTCTTGGAGACGTCAAAATAATCATAAGCAGCAGCACTTATGCCTTACAGAGCAAATAATCCACAGAGTGTCATTTTCATTTTGCAAACAGGGTCACAACAGCAGTCAAATAGAAGCCTAAATACCCAGAGAATTAACATACAGATTCGATAAGATATAACAAGGGGTTGAGCATGCTGGTGGGTTTGTAAGTCAGATCCACATTGAACCCTGTGACCTACTGGAGGTTATACGTGGAACCCGGGGAAAGCAGCTTTTTCATACAAAACAACAACAACACAACGACAACAAGGAAAACCAGACGCTGCTGGATGTCTATAATACTCGTCTGCAGTAAGGCTTTCAAGATACAGGAATTTTTATAGCATTTGTATTTTAAGGATTTAGGGCAAATACATTTTTTTTTCTACTTGATAAAAAGAAAATTAGTACTTAAAAGGTTCAAAAATATATTGATTGAGTGATTTTTTTACATAAATAAATTATATTGATTTTTAGGATTTAATAGCTGAAAAAACCCTTTCTGCTTCCACTGGAGGCAAAACTGAACAAAAGGTTAGTTAAATAGAGACAGTAGCATTTCTAAGAAATCTGTTGTCAGCATTATAGACCATCTATGCTACACGGACGCCGTTAAATAGGATTTGTTCAACTATCAGATAATTTTCTTCTTCTATGATCAGTTATAGAATTTCTTCTGGCTTATACCTTTGATTCATAAAACTGGGACTCGCTTTTTAAAAAATACATCTGATTGGTTTTTTTTTTTTTTCCGGTCATGATTTAACAGACTTCTTTGAGATGCTCATCTTTAACATTTACATAATTTATAATCCCAAATGTATAAAAGACAAATGACAAAAGCATCATAAATAAATAATGCAAAATGAAATAGTTATGCCAGACTTTTGGACCTTCTGATAAATTAGCAAAACTGTAACAGAAAAAGTAAAAAATACAGTAAATCGTGACAACGAAAAGTGAAACCGGTACGAGGAACACTGGCACCATTTCCAAGGGTCCTCGCAGCCCTGTGCCCCTCGAGTACTGACCATGAGCTCATTCAAGTCTGAGTGCGGACTCCCTGCGAAGATGACCATCGGAAGGGAGGGGGTGGAACGTGAGCGGGAGGGCGAGCCAAGCAGGCAAGTGCTGCTCAGGCAGGTTCTTCCCACCTCAGCTCCCAAACGTGCAACGCCTGGGGCAGGATAGACAGTAAGGCTGACTTGCAATGCAGTCTTGACTAATTTGGAACTTGGGTCCAACTGTCAGAGATAAGCAGAATAGAGAAATAATGGAGAGAAGAAAATAACTTTTCACAGTTGTATCCTAAAGGGTGGTGCACCAATTTCAACAGCCTGATAGCCTTGATGAGGGGACCCAGCTAGCGTCAAAGTGCTGAGTGACTATCTTCTTGCAGGCTCCACAAAGGGCCTTATTCTTGAAGGAAAGCACAGAACAAAAAACCCCATCAGGTCCTGGTGCTCTTTAAACACAGGGAGGAGGCATATTAGTGGCTAGAGAAGACTGCAAGTGACTGGGGGTGGAGCGGGGCACAAGCCTGTGCTCAAGGCAGCAGCATGCAGCTCCGTGGTGTGCGGCCCTCGCCCACCCGTTGCCAGCAATACTCAAGGTGGGTGAAGGTTTCTCATGGTGAGAGTCATCTTCTAGCTGGGGGAGAGGGATCATGGAATATAAAATAATGCCTCGTCAGTCAGTATGTCTTCTTGCTGCAGGTGTCTGAAAAACCATGAGGGGGGAAATTATACTACGACTAGTAAGGATCTTGTTTTTCACAAAGAAATGGGTATATGTACTTTCAACCATTAGTTATATACTTCTATATTACTTAGTAATCACCATAAAATAGGGAAATATTTTAACTCAAAAATACGTGCCAGCACTTCCTTTCCTGTGCTTTTTGGTTTCCCGTTACATTCTTCCTATTCAATCCAGCTCATGGAGAAAAGAGCTCTTCTCCGCCTGTTTTCCGGCCCTTCACTGGTAAATTCCTAGACAGCTTTCTTTTGCCATTTTCCTCCTCAAATAAATGGGAAACTTGGAAGAGAAGGGGGTAGGGCGTGTCACCAAGTACTGTATTAACTACGATTGCTGGAATGAACCACTGGATAACAGAATGGGAATTCTGTGCCTCCTAGACTAGGTCGACGACACTTATCTAATGAAGTGGTAAGACCCTGCAACTATCACACCTGTTACCATAGTTCTCAGACAGGAAATCAGGTAAGTAACCTTACTTATGGAAACATAGGTTCTTAAGAAGGTGAAGTGAGGGAAGTAACAAACCTTTATGGGATAAGAAACTTACAAGTCACAATAATTTCTTAAATGAAAAAAGTTCTAATTGGTGTCGCTGTTGGAGTCTTTGAGTGTCCCTTCCCCAGCCTGTGCCACAAGTTCTCTCTCGGGGGGCGCCAGGGCACTGGGCTCGGTGCAGTTCTGATCACTGCCTGGCTCCCTTTCGCAGCTGGGGGCAGGGTCTGGGTTGGGGCTTGGGTTGTCCCCTTTCGTTTTCTTCTTCTTCCGCTTCTGGCTCTCCAGACCTACTATTTCTGAGTGTCTGGCCTGCTGCATGGCCGGGAGAGCCATGCCCATGCCAGGGGAGAGAAACATGGATGGGTAAATGAGTCCCGGAGACACTCCTGGGATGAGAAATGGGTTAAAAGCCACAGGACTACTAGTAGTTATTGCAGGTTCAGACTGATCAGAAAATGGCCCTGGACCAGGCTTGTCTTCAGCTACAGTGTCTGTTTTCCCATCATGGCTACTCGGCTTGTCTTCTGCAGTCTTTTCAGGCGCTGCTGTACCACTTTTTGTTGTGCTTGATAGAGACGCTGGAGCAGTGGAAGTGCAGGTGGTCGCCATGGGTGCATTCAGGAGTCCCCCAACACCGAACATCTGGGGCACAGTGGCCATGCCCGGCAGCATCATGGGCAGCATGCTCAGCGTGCTTTTGACCTCCTCGCCTGTTGGCATCGTGGCGAAGCCAGCCGGGAACCCGACCAGCCCGGTGAGGGGGATGCCTGGCATATTTCTCATGCTCTGAAGTCCTACCAGGTCCATCCCAGCAATCAGTCCATTCATGAACAGTGGCCCCATTCCAGAGGGAGAGTCCGTTACGATGGCGGGACCTTTCAGGAGTTCACTCCGAGGCCGCCTCCCCCTTCTTCGGGGGCCTCCATCTCGTAGGACAGGCTCAGCCAAGGTGTGATTGAACTTATTTTCTGGGAGAAACCCCTAAAAAAGGACAAAGAAATACAAGGTGCTGAAGGTTACTGGATGGCAGGTGGTCAGCTGGGGGTGCTGAATGGGGCTCTGCACTGGCCTAGCCCGGCCCTGCTCTGTGAGGTGTCCTAGTGGGAAGGGGTGCCTCCAGCCAACCGGCCCAGACTTGTGCAGCTCTCTGGCCTACCTGTACCTGAAGGGCTTCTTCTCAGCTGCCAAGAGCATTTAATGGCACAGGCACAACCAGGGCACTCGTAACCACCAAACAGTGCTCCTGACATGCTCACTGACAAATGCACTGTCCGTCCCTGAGAAGCTGGTAGAGAGCCGGGAGCTGGAGACCAGCACTAAAGCTGCCCCAGTCCTAGTACAGACTCCCATGGCTGCAGCACCTTGACCAATCCCAACACTGGCCCTCCAGTAACACGCAAGGTTTTTATTGAAACAACAGAAGTGGAGAAAGGCTTTGAAGCCAGATAGATCTGAGCTTAAACCCTGACTCTGCAAACCCCCTGGCAGTGAGAAGAAGGCGGGGACCCATCTTCCTTTCAGAGGCACTGAAAGTGTTCAGCACATCAACAACAGCAGGTGTACACATTTGCTGAAGAAATGAAGGACTTCTTGAACATTGTAGGGGAACCAATGCCAAAATAAGTGATGCTCTGGTATCCCTTAAGGGAGAGACCCTCTATTTTTTCTATTTGGAGGTCTGACCTCCAAGTTTTTTCTGGGCTCAAGCTACCCTCCCACCTCAGTCCCCCCGAGTAGCTGGAACTGCAGATGTGCCCTACCACACTAGCCCAATTTTCCAGATTAGCAAAGAGCTCCGCAGGAAAGGATATCTGCCCCACAGGGACTGCACTGTGATAGGGCCTGGGCTGCCAACAGTGCTGCATACAGGTCAGCTGGCCTTGTGCGCTGGACGCTTCCCCATCAACCAGCAAGATGAAAGCCACACAAAGAAAACGGCTGGTCTGACAGCATCAGTGAGCAGGAGGCAACGTGTAGAGAGGACCATGTAGGCGGTAGCTGCACACGCTCCCTCCTCTGAGAATGCCATCTCTGCTGGGCCGTGCAGCTGTGCTGGGCATCTGCTCCCTGGAGCAGGTGAACAAGCCTTTGCTATTATGCTATCTCTGAATTTGCTTCAAAAGTGTGAATTATCCCCTTATAAAGAAAGGGAGTGACCTCTCTTGGGACTCAGTGTCTGTAAGCCCCGGGAGGCTGGACAACCATGTGCTTTTCTCTCTTGCCCTCTGCTCCTCACTGCCGCCAGTCAACTTTTCAAGTAGCACACATCCATGATATTAAAAACAGGTAAATTTTCCTTGTGCTGTCCAGAGGTCTCAGTGTTTTCTCCTACAGAGGAGTGCTGGGCCATGGCCGCCCTTTCCAAGCCACGCTGGAGTGAAGAGGCCCTCACAGCCCAGGTGTCTCCTTCTATAGTTCCCTGTCACAAAGTCAGCGCAGTGGTATTTCACCCACTTTACTCTAATCACAGTGAACTTAGGATGTCCGGAGTGGCCTTGATGGATCCTGAATCACTGGATCCAACTGGGAACACAGGTCACCGTCAGGGCTGGACCATCTCCACAAGAATTCCTCTGCACTGTCTCCCTGTGAGAGTCTGGAGTGGGTGGGGAGTGGGATCTGACAGTAGCAGCTGCAGGTCTCACTAAGAGGCACCAGAAGGGCCAGAGAATCCCTCTCTTCAGGGCCTGGAGCCCCAAGAGTGTAGAGAAAGAAGTTAGGGAAGCTGAGGATATCTGAGGGCTGAGCCTGGTGATCAGACCTGAGAGCAGTTAAAAATCTCATTATAATATTCCCGAGGATAATACTTTTGAATTTTATTTCAGGCGCTGTGTGGCATTTTCCACTGGTTTCACTGTTCCTCTTTTACCAAAATTATTAAAGAAGCAAAATCTTTAGAAAATTCACCATAAGGGGCAGTCAAAGGGTCAGGTGGTACCAGGATCTCGAGTTGTGGTGACACATGTGTGAGGTGGGCCCCCAAATGAGGAGCTTCTCCAGTTCCCATGGCAGTGGGGTGCTGGGCAGCGACAGGACTGGCAGTTCCAGACGGCAATGACAGCGGGGGTGAGAACAGGATCAGCGCAGCAGAAACGCCAGCTGCTGGGAAAGCAGCACTGACTGTGTTCAGGTGCTAAACTGAAGGCTCCATCAGCATCATCTCAACTAATCGTGTGCATCTGAATGTTTCCCAGTCCCCAGAAAGAGTTATTTCTTGAAGTACCTGTGCTTCATCTACCCAAGAATGTTCAAGAAAAACTAGTTTGTTGGCTCGGTACCTGTCACTCAGCGGCTAGGGTGCCAGCCACAAACACCAAGGCTGGTGGGTTCAAACCCAGCCCGGGCCTGCCAACAATGACAACTACAACCAAAAAATAGCCAGGTGTGGCTCGCTGCCTGTGGCTCAAGTGGCTAAGGCGCCAGCCGGCGCCACATATACCTAAGGTGGAAGGTTTGAATCCAGCCCGGGCCCACCAAACAACAATGATGGC